AGGAGATCCCCTGCTAAGGTTGTTGGTAGCCCGGCAGCCCCTTAGGAGCGAAACCGCTGCCAGAGAGAGCACCACCGCGGGACAGGGGAAGCGTGCGAGAGCTGCCTCGGGTCTGCTGCGCGTTAACGGCCGTTCAGCCGGGGATCGGATTCGTCACCGCTCGCCAGTTCATCAGTTCTGTTCGGCTCCAGATCCTCCACGAGGAGAGGCAGGGGGGGTGTTGCCACGTTACTTGTTTGCGCAAAGGCACAGTCAGCCAGAGCGCCGACGTGCCCGACTTTCCCCCCGGCCTTGCTGGGCGGCGTGGGGCTCTGCAGACATCAACAGCGCTTTCATACGCTAGGGCTGGCTCGGGTTTGCGCTCTCAGGTGTGATTTAGCCTGGCTAATGACATCTCGTTGGCATGTTTTTGGACATGTTTTTGTAAAGATACTTCCAACTGTAGTATTAAATACGCAGTGACTTATTAACGCTTTCTGAGTTCGCTGAAAGCTTTGACCTTGTCTGAGTCTCTTGCCCTGACCCTGCTGAGGTCACGCTCTTCTGCTCTGTGTTCTAGTGTGAACTGAAAACAACCCATTTCTTGCTCAAGTTTATGAAAATACTTGCCAGTGGCTGGGCCAGCAGTGACTGTTTTGCTGGCCAACTTTTCCTCCTTACCCCTCTGCTTTCCCATCTGCGCCTACGCGATACCATTTCCTTCTGGAGGTTGTCTTATTTGGGAGAAGGACTCTCCTCCTGCTCTGTGTTGTACGGTGCACAGCACAATGACACCACGATCTCCTGCTGATGCTCCAGGTGCTATGATAATGCATAAAATAATAATCAAATACACCTTTCATAGGTTTCAAATCTGTAAAGCTAACTTAAAAGTTTCTTATACTCCTGTAAGTACTTGGGTTATCTCTTTTTCCGCTGTTAAATTCTCTGAGTGCTGTACTATTGCTGGTGCTAAAAGAATAAACAGCCCAGAGTATTTTTCTGCATTATAGCCTATAATATTTTAAGTATATACACAGCTATATAAATATAATAGCATATTATATATACAATATATACCCTGTATATATTGATTATATACATTGCATTGATTTTAAAGCTTTGTTTAAAGTGTCCTTTTTAACACCACTTTTCCTACCAGTTTTACTAGGTGGCTTTAATTGATTTTGTATGAAGATGACTGTGAAACCGTACTGTTGAATAAAAAGACACATGGGTCACTTGGTTCCAGAAAGAGACAGCGGTAAGGTAACTTGGATTTAGAAGTAAGTGCATTTGTTGCAGCTGAGATACAGACCACGCCTCATTCTCTTGGCCCTAAGGTTTCTCCTTCAGAGCAGAAGAATTTATATGCAGGTTATCGTGATTTATATGTCAGTAAAAGGAAAGTTAAAATGCTGCAGGAAGAAAAACCAAGAAGTGTTTTAATCACTATAGCAAATCCATCAAAATTACAGGATCTCAAAGAGGACAACCTTTCTTTTGGAAGCTTCTTGCTTTTCTCTATCAAATAGCACAAAGTTCTTGACATACTTATCAACTGTCTTAGAGCTTTTCTTTTCTTCGGTGAGCTTTAAAATAATAGCAGGTAGGTCTCCTTTGGGCCTTTTGCTTCATCTTTTGGAAAAATCATACTTATGCAGAGTTGAGCATGCTGCTACATTTCATTTAGCATATGAAATTATCTCTCTGGTTCTGCACATTGATTTCTATGATTAGAAATTGTATATATTATGAACTAACTTTTGCGAAGCCTTTTAAAAATAATTTATGTGATGCTGGAAGCACAGCTGAAGCGGCTTCTAAAAATGAAATCAGACATCTTGGAACAGCTTTCAGGGAATGGTAGATACTCGGAGTAGAGCTCTACTAAACCATTCTGTTCTAAATGCAACCTTCTGATTTAAGGCCAAACGTTGATTATTTCAAAGCATGAAAGTACAGTCAGGGAAAACTTGAGCCAAAAACAGTTAACAGCTGTGAGGCAATTGGTCCTTTAATTCTGTTTTTGATTTTCTTCAACAAAACCCAAGGAAAGCCATGGTAGCAGTTACAGCATATCATCGTTGCTGTTGTTATTGCCTTTCTTGTTACAATACAGACTTGTTGTCTCAGGAACTCCACAAAGTCTCCGTGCTGGCTGATTTCCATAGCTTCATTGTTTGAACAAATAAAAATAAAACCACACCAAAATTTGGCAATTCTGAAAAAAATCATAATTGCTAGACTACATTTAATTTGCCCGCTAGATAGTAAAGTTATTGGAGAATTTAAGCTGTTAGAAATTATTCTGCAGGAAGTGGATTTTAAAGTATGGAAAGTAAGAGAGTCGGCCATGAGAGCCTGGGGCGCAGGTGAACCGTCTGGGTAGTGGTTAGCCAGGATAAATGCGATGGGCATGCAGTCAATTTAAAAAATGACTGAACATGTGTGACTTTCATTAGCAAACTTTACATATTCATGACATTATTTAAAATGTGAAATCTCTCTTTACCTGTGTGTATATGTACACCCAAACAACACACTGTTTTCTTCAGCTAAATATATATTTTAATCTCTTATGATTAACAGCTCTATACAAAGATAAGAGTGTAAATTGTGCTTCTTTTTAGTATGTACCTTCTGAGAGTTTGAAGAGAGATGGAGAGATATTTAAAAATAAAAATACTTGTAAATAATCAGTTCTATTGGAAAGATGTTTTCCTTGGACTGGCACCATGTTTTGAGACTAATCTTAAATGTCTTGTAGAGAATATGGTACTTGACAAACTAAGAGATTAATGAACCCTTAATTTTTGTACCAAGGCCTGTAAGATACAGAAAAATAGTTTTAAAATTAAATTCATATGGCTGTTGCCAAAACTACTGAATTTGATAGTCTGTAACATTTTCAAAAGTTGCAGCAGAATAGTAGTTATTCAAAATATTGCCTAAAGCTAGTCTATGATTTTGTATTTTCAAAAGAGTCTTTGGTATGAAAATGGCCATATTGCTACAACAGCAGATCTCTATGAATTAATTAAATAAGGAACTAGATTTTTTTTTTTTATCAGTTTGCCACAAATAAAATATGCAAAACACCTTCTAAAGAGCATCTGATGTGAGAATGATTTAGGCTTGTTACTTCACTGAACATACTTGAAACGTGGGATTTGTCTTCAAAGAAATGCGACGCGTCACCTGACACATTAGTAAGAGAGAAACGTGTCCGGCGTCGTTCCTTTGTTGCTCCCGGCTCCCACCGCTGCGCCCCTTACAAAACCCTGGACGCTTCTTTCCTCCACCCTGGTGACAACCGAATTGTACCGAGCTTCATAGAAACGTTTCTCGCTATTGTAACGAGGTTGTGCTAAATTCTGGATACAGAAACCCAACTCCTTGTCTGCAAAAATATTCCAGAAATGAAGTTTTTTGAGACTTTGTCACTACTTTGTATTTTTTTTGTTCTTTGTGTCACCAAATGATGTCTGAACAATCCGCGGTGGCAGTGCACGCTTTGCTCGTAACGCACGCCCAGGACCGCGCTGCTCGGAGGGATCCCCCCGCGTTTCAGCAACTGAGCTGGCAGCTGCTTAGCCCAGCCGTAACTGGGCTCTTTGAAATCTGTGGAGGAAGGCTGCTTGGGACGGTACCTTGGAGACTTTGTGCCCCCCGGGGGAAGCACCAGGAGTCCTCATGCTGGCACGGTGTCCTGTCTCTCCTCTCTTTCTCTGCATTTCTCCATTTTGATTTCCCGACGGGAGGCTGCCCTACTTTGGAAATGCCGGGGTTTGTGCGTCTCTGACAGACCCTTCTGGCAGCTAGGTCAGGATTTCAGAGCTGTGTTTGTGCTGCTTTTCCCTGCTGAGCAACTACGCTGTCAGAAAAAAACAACCAGCGCCATATTTTATATTTTATTTTTCTTTTTGTTTTCTTTTTCTTTCTCTGTCTCTCTTTCTCTCTCTCTCTTTTTTTTTTTTTTTTTTTTTTTTTAGGGAAAAACTAAAAGCTACAGATGCCTTAAAGGATGTAGCTCATTTTATGGGCTTCACTACTGGATCTCTAAAAACATTTTTTTCCATAAAAACTTTTTGCAAAACTCAGCATGTAAACAAGAAGCTACTTGAGCCTCAGAGATGCTTCGTTACTTCCTTGCGGACGTCTGGCTTCGTGGTCGCTGCGAGCGGGCAGAGGGCAGCTCTGCCTCTTCCGCGACTCCCCCCTGAGGGTAGACCACAAAGCACAGCTTCTGCCCCCAGCACGTCACGGACTCTGGGAAGAGCAAATGTGCGGGTGGTTAATGCGATTTCTCGAGCTCTCCTAAACCGGAGCGCAACGCTAGGCGGCTGCAACGCGTGAGCCAAGGTGCGCCGGTGCCCCCAGGCTCACCACCGCTTTTACTTCCCGTTAGTGTTTGCGAGTCAAAGCACAGGCGGGTTAAAACTGGGCAGCCTGAGAGACGACCGCTCCTGGCTGTTCGCCCTGCCCGCCCGCGGAGACCCCTGTCGCTGCCGAGCCCGTGCGCGCCGGCTCGGCCCCGGTCACCCCTGCGCCGGGGGGGTCGCCCCAAGGGTCGCCCAGAGCGAGGGGCTGGAGATGGCTTATCGCGGAGCGCTAGCCTGAGAGCAAAGCAAGTAAAAGCTGAACGCAACTGAAACATAAAAGACTTGTGCGCAATTTTAGTTTTATGTGCATGATAAAGTCAGGCTTGCTCCTCTTCTGGGCGTCAAGTGCTTTATCACGCCGTGCAGGGGTTGCAGTCATGCAACGGGATGTGCTTGTAGCGTAATGGAAGAAAAAGGGCCGAGGAGGATAGGCAGAGCGCGTGTGTCATTTATTATCCTTTTTGTGATCGCTCATTTAGGCTTTGTGTGCTTAACGTTATGCTCTGGTGTATGTGCCTGGTGACTGGGGCGGTAACGAGAAAGCCAAAGGAAAGAGATGTGCAGGGTCAAGAGAGGAAGCAAAATATGCCGAGGAACGAGGAAAGCAGTTGCCCAAATGAGCGTGCTATCCAGCCACAAAAACAAAACCCTCCTTCGCAGCGAGGGGGTCGACCGAACCGTGTGTTTCTGCCTGGCAGCTCTTAATTACGAGCCAGGCACGGAAACACAAGTTCTCCATAACGTGGGCAGGGCTGGCAGCGATCGTGCCGGCTGCAATGTTTTCCCGGGTAGAAGGCACTAAAGCTTCATACAATTCTTGAAAGAGAGGTTGTGTACTAGTGTCAGCAATGGTCAGTCTTGCTCAAGGAAATTCACTGTCGTTTGTGGTGTTGCCGGCGTGAGAGGTTACAACAAACCGCTGCGACTCGCGAGCAGCCCGTGGCGTGCGCCGCGCGTTGACGCATTGCAGTGTGCACTCACCTATTAGCCTATTTACACACTTTGGTTTGTTTCTCCAGTAGACTCCGAGAAAAAACACTGGCACTCCAGTTAAAATGATAATGAGTCCAACGCCACAGACGACGGGCTCGGAGTATAAGCTGAAGATCAACAGAAATGCCCAAAACGCCAGGTAAGTGGCCGGGACGAGGAGGTTCACCTGCGAGGAGAGAGCAGAGCAGAGCAGAGCTGTGCAGGGCTGTCGCGGCGGCCGGCCGGCGCCCAGGGGCTGCCCCCGGCTGGATGGGACGGGCTCTGCCGGGCGGCAGGAGACCTGCACCGCCACCTCTCCCACCTATCCAAAAGCGCTAGCCTTAAACCATCACAGTTAAGGGCAGAACACAAGCAAAACTCGAGGGACTTGCGTGCAATTTTAATCCTATGTCTCCCTGCGTGCCTCACTCCCCTCTGCCTCTGTCTTCCTCTCTGTCCATCCTGGCAATCTTACTTTTAGCCGGGGTCTGTCTTCGTATCTTGCTTTTATACTGATGGTACTTTGGGATGTTGCTTGGGAACCTTAAAACATCACTGCTACATACAAAAATAAACAGTTCTTCAAAATCGGACAGAGGACTCGGTGTGACTGTCCCACCCTTCACACCGTTACTGGAACCAAGACATTTAGCTTGAATATTTTCACCTTGATAGGTCTGAAGATCTTGGGTTTCCTCCAGCGTAACACAATCAGGCCGATAATTGTCACTCCGTAGCAGAGGTAGTTAATAAACGACACATAGTTGATTAACGTGTACGTGTCTCCAACAAGCATGATGATAAGAGTGGCCAAGCACTGTAAAGAGAGAAGCATATCCTTACTTGAGTCATTAGTAGAAAAGGTAGCTTAAAAGCAATAAAACCAACCAAAAGGCAGTTAAACTCCTGTTATTTATGGCTCCTGCTGGGTGTTTCTGCTGCCTCCTGCGGTGCTGTGTTTTCTCCCCAAACTGTGCTACAGAGGTCTAGGGCTGAGCGGAGGGTCGGGGTTATTTTGACAATGCTGAAGTCAGAGATCAATGGACCTATTTATAGAAAAAAATCCCTCGAAAGCGCTGCTCGAAGTGGCTCTGCGAGCTGCGGTCACGCCGTGGCGGCTGTGCCAACGCGCAGAGCTGCTCTCGCTGCCAGCCAGCGCTGCCGGCTCGCTTTTCAGAGGCCCTCGGGGAGTTTTCCCTGTGTGAGGCTGTGACCGCGGGCTCAGTGGCCACCCTCAGGACGTGACCTTTGGGGTGGTGGTGGGCAACGTGGCAGACCCCGCCGAGCTGCGTGGATCCTGTGAGCACCGTGTCCCACGGACGGCCTCGTGATGGGGCAGGTGTTTCATTCTCAGCACCGGGCTCTTCCTAACCTGCTGCCTGAAATCTCACCCCAAAATCCACCCCCCAGAACCCGTAGCTGTCCAGGCTTTCTCCCCAAAGCTGTGGCGACCTCACTGCGCTGCCTGAACACAAAACGCTCACGGTATTGGCTTTCAGTGGCTTCCCTCCACCAATTCGTTACGTGTTTTGAAAGCTACTCGACTCTGTGATGAGGACTTGTGGCAAAGTTCAGGTTGTCTATTAGGAGAAAAGAGGGATTTCCTGTAGACTACCACTTAGTGGTTAGCACGCTACTTTGCTCCAGGTGCCCTGTGTGTTATAAAGAAGGAGAGCATCACCCTTTCGCCCCACCAGCCAAGGGTTGGTGCTGCAGATGACCCAGCTCATTAATCTTCCGAGCGTGAGTAGTGCTGGGGAACTGGCGGGCAGATGGTGGAAATTTCCACGCTTGAGCTTGCTTTTTTTGTACTTACTCAACTTCTGACCAAATCCGTGAAGCACCGGGAGCCAGCTGAGGGCCGAGGGGCTGCTCCAGGGGCCCAGGCCAGGCACAGGTGCCCGGGGGAGCTGGGCCGGGCGGCGGCCTGCACGGCCCCACGTGTCCTATGCAACGGTGCCAAAGCCCAGCAGAGACCAATGTCCGAGCCGCTCA